AAACATTTGGTACAAATTATGGGTTAAACATTTGGTACAAGTTATGGGTTAAACATTTGGTACAAATTATGGGTTAAACATTTGGTACAAGTTATGGGTTAAACATTTGGTACAAATTATGGGTTAAACATTTGGTACAAGTTATGGGTTAAACATTTGGTACAAATTATGGGTTAAACATGTGGTACAAGTTATGGGTTAAACATGTGGTACAAGTTATGGGTTTAAACATTTGGTACAAGTTATGGGTTAAACATTTGGTACAAGTTATGGGTTAAACATTTGGTACAAGTTATGGGTTAAACATTTCACAAAATAACACGACTTTTTCAAAACTCTCACGCCTACACTTTAACTTCTCAGAAATAGTTTAGGGAACTATTTTCCCGTTATAGTGTATTTACCGCCATTAGTTTCGACGATGCCTCCCCCACCAGTAGCACAGCGGCATGTCTGCGGACTTACAACGCTAGAATACGGCTTTCGATACCCGTGGTGGGCAGAGCACATCTAGCCCCTTGTGTACCTTTGTGCTTAACTTCAAACAAACAATAGCTTCGACACCGTTAATTTAATCTTATTACATAACCTACAGTCAGAGCAAGCTGAAAGTGAATTTAAAAATCAACATGGCGGTGAGTATAGCTAAGTTAATCTGTTTTTCTTACGTTCTCAGTTCCAAAGACTAGAATTCATTGTTTAATCAATTGCGTACCATTGCCGTTAGCCATATTAGTATGTTAATATTATTAGCACGTTAAGACACTTACCCCGTAAAACACACGAGTAAAATGACGACGAACACATAAATATTGCCCATTCTGCTTGTTGTCAACGTAACCAGTCAACAGCGATCATAAAACTGTTTGTTAGCTTCGCTTCTCAAGCTGAATATTTTATCTGCTTAGGGTTACTCTTATACTGGATATCCTGTGTGGCCGTGATGATGATGTCATAACTCGTGGCGAGTCCAAGGACAAAAACCGGGAATTCCACACTTTACAAACAATTCGTATTTAGTCAGTCACGTTGAGATTTTGAACACATATTTACTTAGACTAACAGTTTGACATATTTTTCTACTGCACTCGTGTGTAAGCGTTAGCTAGCTTGTCTGTCGTAATTGTTTCTCGAGTGGCGAAGAAAAACGGGTGGGTACTTACTTAAAAGCTGGTTTATTTTTAAATGTTCCACAGGTACGGAATGTTTATTGACTACGGAAGAGGTTGAATTACTTTAACACCCACTAAAAACAATTGTGCAATTTCTTCAGAATTAAGATTCTTAGCACTTTGATTGCACATTTCGCAACATCAAAACATAAATTAAAAATAACAAACAGCGAACAGAAGTTTATAATTATTTGATATTTTTTTTTATTATTATTTGGCTTGAACAGTTCGAGCTCACTTATCATTACAGAGAAGCCGGCCCGACATGGCCAGGTGGTTAGGGTGCTCGACTCGCAATCTCTGCGGGTCGCGGGTTCGAATCCCCGCCCCACAAAACATGGTTGCCCTTTCAGCCGTGGAAACGTTATTATGTGACGGTCAATCCCACTATTCGTTGATAAAAGAGTAGCCCAAGAGTTGGCGGTGGGTGGTGATGACTAGCTGCCTTCCCTCTAGTCTTACACTGCTAAATTAGGGACGGCTGGCGCAGATAGCCCTCGTGTAGCTTTGCGCGAAATTCAAAAACAAACAAACATTACAGAGAAAGCGGTTTTCCTATACATTTTTAACTTTTTATTTGTTTGTTTGTTATAATTCTAAAGGTTGCTACTGCTACCTACTTTAAATATAGTTAACTTTCAAAGACTAAATACCTCCCTGTTTCTAATAGCCACAAGCTCAAAACTCCTAAGTTTTTATGTAAAGTGCAAGCACGAGACTACTGTCGAAACGAGCGTGCGTGCCCACATTTTCTTAACCTGCAGGTTTATGGCTCCTCGAGTCCCAAGTTCGTGTCCTGTTACTACAGGAAAAAAAATTGCGCTCCGCACGCTGGGACGTAGATGTGTTTTAAGGTAATGGTCAAATCCTATTATTCAGACAGACAAACATAGCCTGACAGTTGGCGGTTGGTGTTGTTGACCAGCTGTCTTCCTGGTAGTCTATCAGTTCAAAACTGGGGATGGCTAGTGCAGATAGCCCTAGAGTAGCTTCTCGTTGATATCCAATAAACCACAAAATAAACCGTGGAAACGGCTTCTTTGACATCACCTCTCCAGGTTAACCAAACTTACAGAAACCATCATGTATTAGCGGTATTCTGTGGTGTCCTGACTGGGTTTTTACCTCTTTATTCGACAAATATTACCTTGTTTAACTGAGAAAAAGAAATATTCTGGCGCGAAAATTTTCAGAAATATTTGTATGGTCAATGAGAATGTATTTGGTTTAGAATATTCCTGAAAATGGTCAAGGACCAGAAATAAAACAACAACACATTTTCGATGGCATAAAGATGACTGCAATCAGAAATAGAAGATGTACGATGTACATAAAACTAAGCAGAACTAAAGAAACTGGTTAGTTTACATCTTAGGATGTTTTGCACACAAACTTTCTTTCTCGTGCCTCCCAGTGGCACAGCGGTTTGTCTGCGGAATTACAACGCTAGAAACCGGGTTTCGATACCCATGGTAGGCAGAGCACAGATAGCCCGTTGTGCAGCTTTGTGCTTAGCTACAAACAAACTATTTCTCGTAGCCAAGGTGCGATTTGATAAATAGAAAGGGGGAATTTCCCTGACTCTTTTTCTTTTATCCCCGGGACTAAAGCATCAGTTGTCATCCCGGGGGGGGGGGAATCCTGCGATTAAAGATTATGAACTTATAATGCATTTCTTCTGAAAATTTTAAACTTAAATATCTCGTACTGTAAACCCCCATTTATTTGTCTGTCTTTCACACGACCTTTATTCTAGTGATTACCACGTTCACACACACACACATACAAACACTAACAACAGGGCGCTTAATAATATTTTCAACTCAGTCCGTATGTGCAGTATATTTAATCAGGTGCCTTGTTTTGTATCCAATTCTTGCATAATCATACTAACACACTCAACATTAAAGAATGCATGCTTTTGTTAGATGACTAAAAATGTTTGTTTTTGTTTTAATTTTGCGCAAAGCTACACGAGGGCTATCTGCGCCAGCCGTCTCTAATCTAGCAGTGAAAGACTAGAAAGAGGCAGCTAGTCATCATCACCCACCGCCAACTCTTAGGCTACTTTTTTACCAACGAATATTGGGATTGACCTTCACATTATAATGCCCAATGGCTGAAAGGGCAAGCATGTTTAGTGGGACGAGGATTCGAACCCGCGACACTCAGATTGCGAATCAAGCGCCCTAACCACCTGGCCAGGCCGGGCCGGCTAAAAAAAAGGAAATTACAGTACCATAAACAAGTAAAAAAAAGAAAAAAAGACGCTTTTATCATGAAGATTTACTGGTTTGTTGTTAAGCTCAAAGCAACACAATGACTTATATGTGCTTCGCCCACCACGTGTGTCAAAACCAGATTTTTAGTGTTATAAGCCCTCAGAATTACCACTGAGTCACCAGGGGGCTGTTGGATATACAAGACTGTTTAGTTTAAGAGTTATTATTTAGTTTTTTTAGTGATTTAATATTTAACGATGCTTGTTTCGTTTTCATAACAAGTATGTTAAAAGGTAATAATTTTAAAAGCGATAGTTATTACAAGTTTCTTTACGTAACTATGTACAAGTCGTACGTTGTGTATGCAGTTTATTTGTTGTACTATGCTTTGATAATAATTTTGACATCATCTTACTGGAAGCTTCGAAGTCTTTCCCGTTATGTTTAATATTGTTGTTACAAGAGGACTAGATATTTCAAGATTTTTCTGTCGCGTGTTATAAATACGTGCAGATCCAGTGAATGGAAGTTAAGTTAGTGAAAGTAAAGATAGACTGCATGATTGTCAGTTTAGCCTTAACGGGCGATTTATAAAGTGAGAGTTTCACAGTTTGTATTGTAATAACAAAGATAAAGAAGAAGAATTTGTCTTCTCAAAGGGTGTTCTGAAGTAATTGAACTTGCCTGTGTGGACTTTGATGAAAAGCTCTGGATACGACTATGGGAACCAATAGCTATATTGGCGATTTTGAATTGAGTTTCACAGCTTGTATTGTAACAACAGAGATAGAGAAGAATAATTCGTCTTATAATGTCGTAACCCACGGGGTAACGTAAGTGAATTTGTCAATGATTCAATTATGATAATAGGGAAGAGAAGAAATAATTTGTCTTGTTAATTAGGTTCTAAAGTAATTAAACCAGACTGTGTGGACTTTTGACGAAAAAAAAGAATTATTTAAAGCTCTAGATTGAACTGTAGTAAAAAATAGTGTAACAATTTTTTTTGTACATACGTTTGACTTGTTTTGAATATATATTATTTTAAAACAATTGGATTGTGTGCTGTTCGTTTATTTCTGAAATTTATCGCCAAAAAATCACAGACACCTACTGTAAAGAATCCGGCCCATATACATAAGTAAAAAATCTGACAAAGGCCTATCGTGAAGAATACGATAAAAACTTCTTAGCACCGTCCGTGGATTCAAATCTACATGCTTTAAAGCATTAAAGAAACTAACGATGCAACACAAATGATTGAACCTGAACATGGCAATCGTTCTCAACCAAATAAAAAACATTAATTTTTTTTTCAGGTCACATTTTGTATTTGAAAACGCTAAAATAAAAATCGTTAAAATTTAAACAAAAAGAGGTAAGATAAAGAGGTTTACTTATGGTGTGTCAAGACTTGCCATACTGTTTTATCCCTTCCCCCCTGGTGAAACAATGGTACGTCTATGGCCTTACAACACTTAAATCCGGAGTTCGATTCCCCACATTGGACACGGCTGATAGCATAATGACCTTGTGCTCTATAACAAAGAAAATATCCCCCCCCCCCACATACACACTCGAAAGTTGACAACTTGCACCTTACACATAGCTGACCACAGTCGTTATTAAACAAAGAAACTCCACACTACTAGTCATGGGAAAAGCATGAGAGAAAGCAGTTAATCAAGTCCAGAGATCTCTGGTTTGTTTACATCATCCTACCCGGAAAAAGCTTGACATAACATGAGAAACATCTGAGAAAAGGTGCTTACCTTGTGCATTCAAACTGCTAGCATACAGGTCAGTGCATACTGACATGACTCCCGCTAGCATACAGGTCAGTGTACACTGACATGACTCCCACTAACATACAGGTCAGTGTACACTGACATGACTCCCACTAACATACAGGTCAGTGTCTACTAACATGACTCCCGCTTGCATACAGGTCAGTGTCTACTGACATGACTCCCGCTAGCATACAGGTCAGTGTATACTGACATGACTCCCGCTAGCATACAGGTCAGTGTACACTAACATGACTCCCACTAACATACAGGTCAGTGTATACTGACATGACTCTCGCTAACATACAGGTCAGTGTATACTGACATGACTCCCACTAATATACAGGTCAGTGTCTACTAACAAGACTCCCGCTTGCATACAGGTCAGTGTCTACTGACATGACTCCTGCTAGCATACAGGTCAGTGTATACTGACATGACTCCCTCCCAACTGTTATGTTGCAATCTATCATAATAATATTCAGTTTTTGTCTGTCCTGAAAATTCGCGTGCACCATACTATCTAAATACGCATACACGCGAACATAATTTCAATAGATGTAAACAAAAGGTGAATGTTTATATACTTTAGTAGGCTTTTTGTACGATAACGTATGAAAAGTTTATCAAAGTTTTTAAAAACGTCTAAGGTCAGGTCGTAGAATAACATTATAAGTTTATTTATTGATAATATTAAGTATGGCAAAGTTTAGCCATAACTAAATTAAAGCAAAAAACTTACACAAATACAGTGTTAATTTATTTCAT